TTACATCAAAAAATTAGTAATCAAGATAGTATTGGGGCCGGGCACAATGGCTTACACCTGTAATCCTAGCACTTTGGGAGGCTGAGGCAGGCAGCACTTGAGGTCAAGAATTCGAGACCAGCCTGGCCAACTGGTGAAACCCCATCTCTACCAAAAATTACAAAAATTAGCTGGGTGTGGTGGCGAGCACCTGTAATCTGAGCTACTTGGGAGGCTGAGGCAGGAGAATTGCTTGAACCCATGAGATGGAGGTTGCAGTGAAGCGAGATCGCACCACTTCACTCCAGCCTGGGTGACAGAGTGAGAATGTCTCACCAGAACAAAAAAAAACAAAAAAAGGAGTTGAATATAATATTTCAAAATTCAAAATTAATACCTATGGAAAAACAAAATACCAAAATTTTAAATAGGGACAGACTGTTTGCTTTATGATGATATTATTGTGCAATAGAATAAGTCCCTTCCACTCAGCCCTCAGTTTACTGGTCTGGCAAAGCAATACAGTCCACTAATCAAACAGGAAGCATGTTTATGAGGGTTGACAACAGCACATCAACAGTTTGGGCAACACAGGGTTTTATATATAATCATGTTTTTGTTTGTAGATCTGTTTTTAACTTTCTCACTTTGTTCAAACTATGGGACAATACTTTGATAAGTGTATGCAAAAGGTCTTCAACTTACAATAGGTTGACTTACGATTTTTCAATTTTACAATGGGTTTATTGGGACATAAACCAATAAACCAATCATAAGTTAAAGAGCATTTGTATACAGTTGCACATTTTTCCTTTTGTCTCAGGCTTCTGAGGCTTGGCATGACACTGGAAAGTCACAACGGAAACCACAAGATTTAAAGTCCTCTGTCTCTAATATGGTAATCTATATAAAAAGCGTTTAAAGTACTCATGTCCTTTGACCTAATTTTTCCATTTTTACGGATCTGGCTAATGAAATTATATTATAAACACATTATTAAAAATTTGCAGTTAAATGTCTAAAGTTATTTATAAAACTACAGGTATAACATGAGTCCATGTTTGTCTTAAATAGATAAGAGGATGATATATGGGAAGAGAGGAGGCAGTTAGGCAGGTAGACATATTATCTAAGGCTGAATCTTTAAATATAAATATGGCTTAATTCTGCATAGTAAACCTTGGATTATTTTTATCTTTTTCCTTATTTGTATTTTCTACCTTTCTATAATAAAACAGTATTGCTTGGATAATTAAACAAACAAATTAACTTAAAATTTCATTACAATTTATGTACTTCCATAGCCAGATCTTATATAATATGAGATTAACTGAAATTTTTCACTTCTATGGAGAGGCATCTCACTTCATTGAAAATGCACTTAGTAAGGTACATCTGTAACACTAAACATGCTGTAATTACCAACCATGACACATACCTGTAAGAAAACAAATCAGGTAACCAATCTGCTGGAAAATGTACATTCAAAATGTCTCTGCCACCTTGATAATGTTCTCCAAGAGGATTTAATAACTCATCATTCTCATAGCTCAATCTTGTACTCATTCCTGATGATGGAATTTTTATCCATGAAGAAAGGGAAAAAAATGAGGTTATAGCAGGGTAAATATGTGGCTGAAAATGGTGGTAGACATGGATGCAGGCCTTGCCTATATGACAGGCAGACATAGGCTTTGACCCCTCAGGAATAAAAATTAGGCAAGAGTTCTATCTAAAATTAAAGACGCTCATGTTTCTAATGCTCATTAGCTGACATTTATCTAGGAGGATCACCAATCATTGAGTTATTTTTATAACCAGCTTAACAGAAGCTGTGTTTCCATGACAACAGTCAATGTTGGGAAGGTAAAAAAAAGAAATTAATGGAACTTGTGGTGATCTTAATAATGCTGTATGGAACTTATTCATTAATCTGGTTTTCCTATTGTCTGGGCTTCCATGCCACTGCAGAACTAACTGGCTTCTAGGGGCTGTCTGACATTGGGAATAATGCATTTTCGAGAAGGCCAAGTGCCTCTAACCCAGGTTACTGACAGAGTATTCTAATTCTTCCACCCCATACTCAGTTCAAAAGAAAAATCACAGAAGAATTAGAATAAGAACCCTTAGATCACCACAAACTGACCAAGAAAAGTGCAGGATTGGTCGGAGCAAGAGGCACAAATTTTATCTTTATTCTCTTTTGAAATCCACAGCAGCAGATTTGCTCTCATGAATTAAATGTTATGTGAAAAGAAAAAGAGGAATCAAGTTTCTTTCTAGATTTCTGACCCTAAGCCACTGGGTAGATGATAGTGTAAAAGACAGGAAAATCAGCCAAATGTGGATTGGGTGATGGAGACAAAGAGTTCTATTTTAGAAATCCTTTTATCTTCAAAGAGACTTAAATTGTATTACATCATAACTGAACATTTTAGATACAAATAATACAGCTCAGTCAAAAGACCTTATTTCATACAGACAACGTGATGGTTTTGCTATCAATGAGATGTTGGGTCTGGAGCACACTGTATGACCTTATTACTATTGGAAAAAAATCACCTGTCAGTGTTGAGGTCTTTTTTACTTGTCCTCAACCTATTTTTTATTTTTCAAAGTAATCCAGATTTAGGTGTTTCAGAATCAACAACTTAGGTTGCTTTCTGAACAGAATTTAGAACCCATATGTTTCTGTGTCTTGAATGGCCTATGCATCCCAATTGCTCCCTGACTTTGTGTGTTGTCTGTAAGTGTGAGTCACGTTGTTTTGCGTTTAGTGTTAGGGCTGCAATGATTCTTGGTATGTCTTTTGGGAGCCTCTCTATCGTGTCTTAGAGGCTCTATTACGAGCCTCTCTAATGTGTATTCCTCCACCTTTACAATTCTATTAAGGAACCAAAAGTTTATAAATGAAATAAATTTAGATACTAATAAGTTAAAAAAAAAATTCCCAACCCTAACACAAGTAATAAGACCACTAAACAGTATATATTAATATATGCCTAAAAGATCATACACTACTGTTTTCAGTATAAATGTGGATTCAGCAGCAGAAGTTTAGAATTGTGTTTTGAAGAAGCTGAATTTTTCCAAGCCATAGGAATGTTGCTTTCAGGTGTAGATTTGAGAAAGGGATTATAGCATTTCTTACCAAAACACAAAAACAAAACAAAAACCTTTGAGGTAAAATAGAATTTTTAAAGCAGTATGTAGACAGATATGCTATGTGATATAACTTCAATCTATGAATGATCTTTTCAATAACTTATTCCACATCTGATGAGACTCTAAGCAGATCATGACTGAGCCCCAGACATTCTTGCTTCCAAGTCTTCCATGAAATTCAGACCAACTCAGAATGAAATCAAACTCTTAAACTATTTTAATATATGTTATTGATACTTTCTAACTTTTTTCTTTAGAGTTGTTTCTCCCAATGAAAATTCAACTTAGTGTCAGTGACCAAGGAAAGACCCTGTTGATTCAGTGAGGACTCATTTTTCATTTTTCACCTTTCTTTGATTAATTAAGCACTAGCTCTACACAAAGCTGAGCATAGTTACCAAGGTACAGGTTGAAACTCCGAGGATGACTTATTTCATTGATCTTCATTAGTATGAGGACTTTCTCTTTGACTTAGTTTTCTCTTCCTAGCTAGGAGGTTCTATCTGCAGATGAGGGTAGAAAGCTGAAGGGAACCCCCTGGCCATGCACGTCTATGAGAGGAGACTCAGGGCCAGAGCAGAACATGACATGTTCAGAATCTGCACCAGAATTGATTTAGAAAATGTAGGAATACAGAGCATAGATACTTCAGATATTGCTTTGTTTCTTATAAGAACTACTTACCTTCTAATAGAAGGCATTTTAAAAACTGAAACTGGAAAGAAATTTGAAATGGATGTGCAAAATGTATACCTTTTCTTTATATACTATCAACATCAGCAGTGATATCAACAATGATTATAACTAATCAAGAATCTCATAGCTGCCCTGTGTAGGAATTGTAAATTCAACATAAATTTATAAGCTGATAAAGATGCAATGGACTGGCTCGATACTTGGGTTAAAATAAATTAATTAAAACAAAAGCCTGGGGGTTTCCAAAAGTTGTAGACATTTCTATAATGAACGTATTTTTTATAGACAGGGTCACTTTAGGTTGCCTAGGCTGGACTTGAACTCCTGAGCTCAAGTTATCTTCCCACCTCAGCCTCCCAAGTAGCTGGGACTACAGGCATGTGCCACCTTGCCCAGTTCCTCTTTGTAATATTTATCTTAGTAAAACCTAGAATAACTTTTCATTGGATAAACTAAACTTCTCTTAAATAATGAAAATGCTCTGAGGTTATTTTAGTAAGAGTGAGTCTCAGTGTCCTTTTTTTCTTTTTTTTTTTTTCAGATGGAGTCTCACTCTGTAGCCCAGTCTGGGGTGCAATGGTGCAATGTCAGCCTCAGCCTGCCGAGTGTCTGGGATTACAGGCACCTGCCACCATGCCAGGCTAAGTTTTTGTATTTTTTTGTAGAGATGGGGTTTCACCATGTTGGATAGGCTGGTCATATATTAGTGTCTCTTGTGGGCTGAATTGTGCCCTGTCGCCCAAAGTTACATGTTGAAGCCTTAAGCCCCAGTACCTCAGAATGTGACCTCATTTAAAAATGAGGCCTTGACAGAGGCAGTTAAGTTAAAGTGAGGTCATTAGGGTGGGTCCAATTTTGTATCACTAGTATCTTTGTAAAGTGGGGAAATTTGGACACAAAGAGAGGCATAAAGGGAAGCTGTGAAGAGGCACAGTTAAAAGATAGCCACACATAAGCCAAGGAGACAGGCCTGCAACAGATGTCTCCCTCGAGGGCTGGGGAGCTATTGGTCCTGACAACAGCCTTAGGCTTCATCTGTGTTTTCTTTGTCAGGGTTGTTGGTCTCAAACTGAGAGGAGAGGAAGAAGATGAAATGTAAGACCCTAGCATGTCCAACCAACTAATGAGAAGGTAGAACAGAAACACAGAGCCGTTGGACCTTGATTACTCTCATGATTTATTAATATTCAGGTTGAAAAAGGAGCCTTAGAGCCGCAAGTTTACGCTAATTGGCACATTTGCTTTATTTATTTATTTTTAAAACAAACTGGGTTTTTTGAATTTTTTCCTTTTTGTTCATTCCATCACATTGAAAAGGAGGAAAACAAAAATGGTTTTGAATTCACTCGATATTTTGGACTCCTCAGATGAACGGAACATTGCACACACACTTGGAACAGAGAGAGAGATAGAGAGGAAAGTGGACTCCCACAGGGCCACACGCACCAGATCAAATAACTTGGATACAGTGCAAGAATTTCCCAAAATGATTGAATCATCATTACCAAAAACTCGCCATAACAACACCAAGAAACAAAAAATGTTTAAGCCACACTGTTTGACTTGGGATCTTTCCTGCTTTTTTTTTTTTTTTTTTTTTTTTTAAATGTTTGCCACACAGAGAGAAAGAGGGCTAGTGGGTGGGAAAGGACAGACTCACAGACGTGAGCAGGACAGGAGGGGACTTCAGAGTGGAGCTGAGAAGAGGGTAGGGAGAGACAGGCTCAGGAGAGGGGAGGGTGGGGATGTGGAAAGCCATTTCTTAGAGTTCAGGCATGTTCTTGGTCAGCCTCGGGTTCCTCTTCTTTACCCTCATCCTGCCGGGCACTTTCCTTAGGTTTGGTTTCATCTACAGCTTCTGAGAAAGAAAACAAGATAGGGTGGGGGGAAAAGGAGAGAGTTAGTATTTTGTCTTATCGGTTCATACAATGGTGCAATGCATTTCTTCTTTTTATGTCATTTCATAACAGCATTAAGATTAAAAGATTATTAATAACCCAGTTAATATAAGTTCCAAGTTCAGAAGAGTTTACCTCAAGGAAGCTGTTCAGTGGCACCTATGGAAGAACTCAGGAGCAAAGGTATGTGAGTGACAAGGAGCTCACTTAACAGAAGGTACTGTGGTCGTTAATCTCTCAGCCTTACAATCGAGGTATCCACATACAGGATCTTCACATAGGGAATCAATGACAATCTTGTATTGCTGTTCTATTAGTGTCAGAAGAATTGTGACAGATAATTTATGTAGACCATCGAGCATCCATTCCAAATTTCTTACCACTCATTTCCAGTATTAGAAAGTGAAGTAGTTGAATTTTCAGCTCCTGCGGGACAGCGCTGGTCAATTCTAGAAGTAGAAGTCCCTAGAGAGGGCAGAGTTGGGTTTTGCGCTTCACATTCTCCTATTCCTGATCACTTGGACCTCAAACAATACATGGCACTGTAGCAGCTGCCTTGTGACCATGAAGACAAAAACTACACACTAAGGATGGTGGAGCAAAAAGAAAAACTCATCACTGAGTGACTGTACTACTCCTAGATACCTTCCCTCAGAGACAAGTCACTAGCCTCTTTAAAGCACTGTAATATAATAGTTTTCAGTTTCTTGCAGCCAAGCACATTCCAACTGAATACACTTATCCATAGGGAAAGTACTGCTTTGCTTAACCAGGAGGATATCAAGTATTTTTGAAGAAAAATATTCCCTTGGTTTCCCGACAGAACTCAGTCAACGAGTTTAACACTACCTGATAGTTTACTAATATGCTAGCTTGTAGAAAAAGAATTCATTTGCTTTGAAACAACTTGTGTTGCCAAACAATCAACTCCCTGTGTCAGGGTCCCCCAAGACCACCCCTAGGTTCAGTGATTTGCTAGGAGGACTCATGGGACTCAGCATGCAGTCTGCTTCATAACTAAAATTTACTGCAGTGAAAGAACACAAAGCAAAATAAGCAAAGCAAAAAGTTGCTCATGGGCAAAGTTTGGAGGAAACCAAACAAGTTTCTAAGAGTCTTCTCCCCATGGAGTCATCCAGGATGTGCTTAATTCTTTCAGCAATAAATTACCATAACACATGGAAGATGTCATCTATTAGGGAAGTTTAACTGAGTTTGCATTGGTAATTGGTCATGTAGGCACCCTCCACCTAGCAGGTACAAAATTCAGACTCCCAGAAGAAAAATAGATGTTCGGCATAAACCACATTGTTTGTACTATGGTTTTAGGCACCTGGAACCACTCTTATCAGTTAAGGAATGATGAGAATCTTCTCAAAATCCACGTTCCCAGATGCCAGCCAATGGTCAACTTTACAAACAAGCTTTTCTAAGGACAGCAGTCCCAGGCCTATTATATTAACTGTTTTTTTTTTTTTTTTCCCCCACCTCAATCCCTTATATTGGCGATGTCTGTGTCTTAAAATGAAGCTATTGTTATTGCTTGTCCTCCTCTTAACAGCTACTAGGTGCTAATTATTCTTGGAAAGCTAAACTGAAGTCCATGGAATTTTGTTAGGCTAACAAATTTGTGTTTAATTAGAAGACAATAGACAGTTTGAAAGCCCTTGAGCGAGGAATATAATACAGCTATGCTTTGAGGAGATTAAACTAGGAATATTAAATAAAATAGTTTTGCTGTATGTAGATGTTGAGATTAGATAAATGGGGTCATTAAGGAGACCATTAGAAGAACTCATCAAAATGTATATCTTTTAAATCAGCCAGCTACATATTTACATTCAGATAAAGCTGAATGTTTATACCCACCATTATTAAACACATTTCTGGAATTTCTTCTCTGAAACATCTATCAAAAAACATTCTTTTAAAGCTCTTCAGTAGCAGAAATGCTTATTTTTTGAAAATAGGTTAGACTTTTAAAATCTAACTACACTAGTCTGGTATATAAAGTAAGCAGCTACGATAGGTAACTTTACCTTATAATACTCACTTTTGACCAAGGTTTTAAAGTCTGACTTATTTTATAGGGTTCATAACTCACTATAAGCTATTCATAAAATATAGTTATTCTAGTGATGCTACCTACTACTACTCATAAGGTTTTTTTAAGGCTACGGCTTTCCAAAGTGACTATGATTACCTCTTGAACAACAGTGCACCTATATAAGTTTTGCATGAAACTAACTCAATTCTGATCATTCTAATACTCTATGCATTAGCAGTATTCCTCAGGAATTATAAAAATTTTGGTGTGCTAATGAGTTATTTAATTTTCTACCAGAAGAAAGATTCCAGATTTATTTCAGCGAAGTTCTTCTAAAACAATCAGGAATTCTTTTGCTTATTTCCCCAACTCTGCTCAAACCTTTGGTATCACAAGTATGCCCAAGGTAGTTTACCATCCTTATCAGTTCCAAGAAGCAATGTTTTTAGTGCCCTTTTCAAACTGCAAAATAAACATAATATTGGTTTACACAACCCAGAAACATATAGAAAGATAGTAGCTCTACGAGCAAGAGAAGACTTCAAATCTCTCCTACCAAAATAAAGATATGGGAGCTATTCTGTATGCTTAGAGGGAGATCAGGAAATGAGAGAAAAAGGGAAGTAGATCGGGAAAGGTGAGAAATGCATGTTTGTTGAATAAAGGGAACAAAACTCAAAAAATGCAGAAACAGAAACTTGAACATTCAGATGGTTCTAAGACTTTCTGTTCCCTTGTTGGAATACAATCAAGTTAAATCCTCCCAATTCTCTCACTTTCTCTTGTCATCCATTGCCTGGTCCTAGGACAAAAGATGAAATTTGACACAAATCTGTTTATTATGACAGGAAATTATTGCTGTCTGTTCCCTATTGAGAGAGCTTCAATACATATTCATTTTCTCAAATCCTTCAAAGTATTTTAAATGTAAGTATTTATTAACTTATTTGTTCAATAAGTTCTTACTGGACACCTGCATTGTGCCAGCCATTCTTCTAGGTACTGAGAAAAAAAAAAAAAAACAACAAAAAGCAAAATCCTTGCTCTCCTTAAAGCCTTTCATAACGTACCTTTAAAAGACAATAAAATTTGGGCTGGGTGTGGTGGCTCACACCAGTAATCCCAGCACTTTGGGAGGCTGAGATGGGTGGATCACCTGAGGTCAGGAGTTCGAGGCCAGCCTGGCCAAAATGGTGAAACCCCGTCTCTACTAAAAATATAAAAGTAGCTGAGCATAGTGGCACATGCCTGTAATCCCAGCTACTAGGAAGGCTGAAGCAGGAGAATAGCTTGAACTTGGGAGGCGGAGGTTGCAGTGAGCAGAGATCCCGTCTTTGCACTCTAGCCTGGGGAACAAGAGTGTAACTCTATCAAAAAAACAAATAAACAAAAAAAAGACAATAAAATGTGTAATAATAGAATGTTACAAATGAATGGACCCTTTAAGATCATCCAGTCACCAAACCATGAACTCTTCAAGGGTAACAGCAGTACCTACTTCAGCTCAACCTTGAATCCCATGTCCAGCATAGAACCTAATTCAGGAAAGACCCTCAGTAAATATTTGTTGAGTGAAGGAATGACTGGACAGCCTCATTTTACAGGTGATGACACTGAAGTCTAGGTGCATAAAGGAACTTTCCCTAAATCATATGACTTGCTTATGACCAAGCCAGAACTAAAACTCAGGTCTATTTGTTCAGGTTTTCTGATTATATCAGGTGGCCAAACTCATTTTACCAATTCAGCACTAGAAACTAAGCAGCTAGGGTCCATAGGGTTTTAGTGACCTATAAAACTTCAGAGATTAAAAAATGGTTGGCTCCAAAGTATAAAATAAAAACCGTAAAATTAAAATTGATGAAGCTCAATTAGATGGCTACAAAAGGAAATGTTAGTTAGCTGGAACACATAAAACTATCTATCTATCTATCTATCTATCTATCTATCTATCTATCTATCTATCTATATTTGTCTGAGATTAAAGTAATTTTTTACTTGATATTATTGAATATTAAGCAAAATATTTGCTTTGTTTTAAGTGAAGGGATGACTAGTTGGCAGAAAACAAAGTGGATCAAGTCAATGGATGCAGTGAAAGTTTTATAGACCACCAAGAAATTATGGGGAGGAAAATAAAACATGGACGGAGGAAACAATGTAAAGAAACAATCTTTTACAACTTCCAAAGTGAGATAAACTAAGAACTCATGATAACATTTTTTTAAAATTCTACATCCAAATGAGGGAACAATAGCCAGATATGGACAATATGCCTGCTCTAGCTAGCTCTACTTTGGTAGGAGACTGCATATGAGTTTGGGAAAGGTTTTAGTCTCTGACAAAGCAGAACTTATTATAAACAGAATCCAACTTTTGTATAAATAGGTCCATTTAAGCCTGAATACCAGAGGGAACATTTTGATATTGCTAGCTTATTCTCCCACTGATGTCAACCCTAGATAAATCATTGCAGTGATAAATCATGTTGACCGTTTAGTTTACATCTACATTTTCTTACCTGTTCTATTCAGCAGCTTAAAAAAAAACTGCCTGGAAAGAATTATGAATTATGACTTACCTGGTCCTTTGTATAAAGTATTTAGCTATAGTTAACATTTTGGAGCTCTTACTATGTGCTTAGAATAGTGCGAAGTATACTTGTATCATCGCATTTGATTCTCACATCTACTTTAATCACCCCATTTCACAGCTGGGGAAACTGAGACAGAGGGAGACTGAAGGGTTTACCTAAGGCCACACTGTAAATTCCAACCTAGGACACAGTTATCGCAGCAGCTCTTCCTTTAGTTGCTTTCCCTGGTTTTACCTTTGCCCAGAAAGAATGGGTGAGTTCAGAGTGATAACTAAAGCAGGGAGTCCAGTTCACAGCTATGCAGGCCTGAAGCCCAC